GATACCAAGTTGTGACAGCCAGGGCTATGTAGAAAGAGCCTGTCTCAACAACACGAGAGAGGAGCCAGTGGCTGTACTATGGACTGTCCACCAAACGCCGATCAACCTGGCACAGGGCCCTGGCTTTGGACAAACAACCATCTGGTATGGCTGGATGGAGGAGGCCTAGCATGGGCAGTACAAGCCTATGCCGGTGCAAGACAGACGGGAGGGGAGGGGTCAGCACTTCCTAAAGAAGCTGGTGTTTGAGGTAGCTCAGAGGATTGTCCCCAGTCCCAGGATGATGAACCTAGTACAAAGTGGCTTGGGTGGAAAAGTGCATTTGTCAGCAATGGCCATTTTATTGTCCTCGGGAGGGCTGCTTCTAGGTGTCCAAAAGACATTGTTAGGAGTATGTCTGGGACCAGATCTAGGCTTAACCGTCTCTGGGTGCCACTGAAGGAACCCCCCACACCCCCCACATACTGGCGGGAACAACTACTGCCATCAATTCCAGGCTTTTATCCTATCAGGAGCAGGACATGTTTCTTCTCTAACAAAGTCTCTGAGGTGGTTTTTCACTGCACTAGAGTGAACGGGATGCTCTGACCGCTAGTCATCGGAGTTAGAAGAACATGGTGATTGGCCAGGCCTGGGTCTTATGCCTGCCCTGCCTCTAGAAGGAAAGCATGCTCCACACCCAAGAGCAAGGACCAAAATGGGGGAAGGGCTGACTCCCTCAAAGACAACCTGTGTTTCCTCTCTGCAGAAGGCAAGACTGAACGCCGCAAGCAGCCACCTGCTCACCGCTGGGTGGTAGAACACTCAGGAGCCTGAGGGCGGGGAGGGTCATGGCACACTGCATGCAGGGTCAAGAGGCAGGCTTGAGGAGAGGCTTAGTGCTGCTCACCCAGGGCTTGTAAGGCACAAGTTCCCAGAGAATATGGTACCCACAGTGTGTGACTGTTGGGGGCCCGATGTGGTCTTGTGAGCATATCTACATTTAATACCTCCCTTGCTAATTTCCGGGGAGGGTGGTGGGAGGGGAATATACCAGGGGCCAGTGAAATGGTTGATCGGCCGGGCGGTGGTGTCGCACGCCTTTAATCCTAGCACTCAGGAGGCAGAGACAGGCGGATCTCTGTGATTTCGAGGCCAGCCTTGTCTACAGAGTGAGTTCCAGGACAGCCAAGGGTACACAGAGAAATTCTGTCTTGGGTATAAAAAAAAAAGGTTCAGCCCATGGCTTTAATCCTAGCACTCGGGAGACGGAGCCAGGCGGATCTCTGGGAGTTCGAGGCCAGCCTGCTCTACAGCGTGAGATCCAGGACAGGCACCAAAACTACACAGAGAAACCCTGTCTCAAAAAAACAAAAAGACACCTGTGTAACTTTACTAGAAGGTGGGGGCATGCATTACACTGCAACAAAGTGAACTGACTTATTCTCAACAGTCCCACAGACAGGATACCATTGGGAATATGTTACTGTCCTTTGTGGAGATCTAGCCCCTCTATTCCCAGCCCTGTACATACACTAAGACCCTCTTGGTGTCTCTTCCTGTGTTCCCAGAGCTGTTGTTTAATGTCTGCCTTACCATCAAGCTCACCTTTAATCTCAGCACTGGGGAGGCAGAGGCAGGTGGATCTCTGTGAGTTCAAGACCAGCCAGGTCTAAAAAGTGAGTTCCAGGACAGCCAGAGCTATTACACAGGAAAACCCTGTCTCAACTGCCCACACACACAAAATAACAATAACAATAAAATAATAAGAATAATAATAGGATCTAGAAGGATAGTTCAGTGTTTAAGAGCACTGACCTGGGGGGCTGGAGAGATGGTGCAGTGGTTAAGAGCACTGGCTGCTCTTCCAGAGGACCCAGGTTCAATTCCCAGCACCCACACAGCAGCTCACAGCTCTCTGTAACTCCAATTCCAGGGTACCTGAAATCCTCATGCAGGAAAACCACCAATGCACATAAATTTAAAAAAAAAAAAAAAAAAAAAGCACTGGCCTGATGGTTTATAGTCATTTGTAACTCCCGTTCTAGGGGATTCAAGGTCCTCCACAGATACCAGTTGAATACACATACATGCAGGCAAAACACCTGTATATAGGGGTTGGAGAGATGGCTCAGAGGTTAAGAGCACCGACTGCTCTTCCAGAGGTCCTGAGTTTAATTCCCAGCACCCACATGGTGGCTCACAACTGTAATGAGATCTGGCACCCTTTCCTGTCTACATAATAAATAAATCTTAAAAAAAAAAAAAACAAAAAAAAACGGCGGGGCGGTGGTGGCGCACGCCTTTAATCCCAGCACTTGGGAGGCAGAGGCAGGCGGATCTCTGTGAGTTCGAGGCCAGCCTGGGCTACCAAGT